GTAAACTCCCTGTTTGTTCTTAACCCGTTAACATAGAAACATGACAGATTTGACAAATACCCACTGGGTTCGGAAAGTGTTATCTGTATAAGATGCTGTGTCTCTGCATAGAATTTGTGATGGATTTTAACTTCTAAAATAAATGAGTTGATCTTCCCATATGGGAAAAAAATATATTTGAAATATATTTTAAAAATATTCTTCCCAAATATACTGCCATATATTTGAAATGGTACAATTTTGCCCATATTCAATATATTTCAAAATCTCTCTCTCTCTCTCTCTCTCTCTCTCTCTCTCTCTCTCTCTCTCTCTCTCTCTCTCTCTCTCTCGTTGAAATGCATTTTTATTACAAAATATCTGAAAAGTATTTTTAAAAATACATTTCAAATATACTGTATGTCTTTAAAAATACAAATCAAAATTTTTGGAATACATTTACATATATATATATATATATATATATATATATATATAATATATATATATATATAAAAAGTTAAAATTACTTTTTTATATGTTAAAAAAAATCCGAAGAATATATTTAAAAAAAAATGTTTTTTAACATATAAAAAGTAATTTTAACATATATTTTTACATGTATTTGCAAATGCATTCCAAAAATGTAGATTTGTATTTTTAAAGACATACAGTATATTTGAAATGTATTTTTAAAAATATTTTTCAAATATTTTGTAATAAAAACACATCTCAGCATGCAGTATATATCTAGCACTGCATTCAGCACACATTTCCACTGACAGCCACACCAGCTAGGTGTGAAACACCTTGCCACCCTGTCTCCCTGTTTCTTCCAGTCAGATAACGCTTTGCATTCAATCAGAAAATGCAAAGCATTTGCTGAATGGCACCTGTGCCATACAACTGACTTCCTGTGCTCAGAATGCAGTGGGTCAGCTGCTCTGCAAGGGACCTGGAGGCAAGTGGAGATCACTGGAGTATCGATGTCTGTTCTAGCTTCCAGGGGGATCGAGCAGTTATGGTATATATATATATGTATAAAATAACTGCAGCACTAAAATTAAAAATGATATTATAGTGAAATAATAAAGTGCAACGTTAATGTGAAATATAGCAACTAAAATAATCACTTATTTTTATTTTTGTGGCTATATTTCAGATTATCGTTGCACTTTATTATTTCACTATAATATCATTTTTAATTTTATCCTGCACTTTTTTATATTATTTCCACAAGGAGTTGTTACCGGATCAATGCAAAGGGACAACTTCCTCCTGTTTACAGAAACAGATCCTGGACTGTTCTTCTCCTTGAAAGCAGTCAGTCTTGCGGATCAGTAGCAACTGCCCTTTACAGGCTAGGGACTCACAGCTCCTCTAAAAGTTAGCTCAGCTTGTTGCAGACTACCTGCAGATATGTCTCTTCTCTCCAGTAGAACTGCTCCCAGCTCCACAGCCGTGCAGACACTACCAGCCCTCCTGGCTGCTCTGAAGATCTCCCAGGACAAGGATAAAGGTTTAAACACAACGCTGTCCTTTGAAAGCTTGCTACATGTGGCATTCGCTCCCCTTGTGAATCCATGGGTATGCTGATGTACTCACGCTGTCCTCCTTGCTCCCACTGCTCCCAGGCCTTGATCCTGTTCATGCTGTACCACTAAATATACCCTCCTCAGCCAGCCTTTGCTCAGATTGGAGGCCAGCCCCCCTAGACCTAGGGGACCCCTCCCAGGCCACCGACAGTCTTCTCAGCACTCCATCTTCCACCCAACTCCCCTGCCAGCCTGACTATCCCATTTTTATGGGCTGGTACTCCCAATTTACCAGGGCTTCCAAACCTGGGATTGACTAGACTCCCATAAACATGCAGATTAGGTTTCCACATCTTCCGTCCACTGGCTTCTGGAAGATTCCATGGTCCTCCAGGTCCAGCTGGAGGCGAAAGAGTCCCAACCTTTTAAGCCATCCAGCCTGACCTGGAGTAACCTGACTTTAATCATAGTCTCCCACAGTTACCATACACAACAGATTTACCTACACTACACTAGTAGCACACTAGAGGATTAATGAATGGGGGGGGGGGGAGGAGTTCCTTTGGGCTCTCAGAAGTAACAACCTGGCATGAATAACCAGAAATGTAGCAGCCCATGTTCAAAAAGGTGCAACACCTGGCCACCTGGCTAAGCAAACAATTTGGTGTATCATGAACCATACAAAAAAAATAAATGTTCCTATCATTATTTTCCCCTTTAATAGGAGAATGTATATGTACATTTTTCACCAACTCCATCAAATTAGACTCTGCTTTCAATCTTCACAAAGCCGATGCTTTACAATAGCTACATTGAGCACGTGGACACTTATCCATGTTTTTACGGTCTTATTTAATGAAACATCAGACAACAAGAGCAATACAAAAATCTTGAAAGAAGCCCCTTCCTTTAATGCTTGATTTACCATTAGTTTCATAAGAAAATAACTTAATAAAGTAAAGGTTACCATAGAAATCCCCATGGCAACTTCCTCTGGGTGAAACACTCATCTTCACTCTATAGAGAAAGGCAGAAGAACTTGAGTTCACTTCAAGAGACATGTGCAACCGACAGACGCAACTGTGCAGTTTCTTCTATTAAAAAATAAAAAATTAAAGGGCATGTACACCTAAATTGAAGGTAGACCCAGTCACTTAAATCTCCCATAATCTCTAATGTGTTCATATTATTTTAAAAGTTGCTTTTTTTTTTTAATTTACAGATTTTAATAAAAGAACACCTTGTGATCCTGCCATAAAGGTCTTTGTCCAAGCACTTACTGTTATGGGGTGTGCACTTGTATTGTCAACCTGTTGCATATGCCCATGGTAGAGACCATGGGCCATGGGCAAAGTGGCCATGCTGAAACACCTTGGGGTTGTTTGACTAAAGGCAAATAAGCGGTTCGAAGGGGAAGTTGCACTTTGCAAGGGCATTTTCCCCAGAGCTTATTGAATGAGGTAAAGCTCTGATGACTTTCTTCATCCAATCATGTGCAAGCAAAAATGCTGTGTTTTTTTTTCCTTGCACATGATTGGAATTTCTTTGAGAAAGGAAATTTTTTCACATTCACTAAACAAAGTGAAGCTTCCCCTGCAATTGCCTTTAGTAAATCAACCCTATTGTGAGGCATAGCTATAAGGAAGCCAAACCAGAGCAATGATGTGCAGGTGCCTCTAGAGTGAGTGTGTGTAGACGTGGCTGCAAGAGGCTGTGTCAGGAAGGTCAAGTACACAGACACTGCAAAGTGAAAAAAACAAGAAGTGCACCAACCTTGCACATTACCTCAGTGCTCGAGCTCTGAGGAAGAAGGTACGACCTTCGAAACGCGTCAGCTGTACTGAGTGTCTACCCCCATGATGGGATTCGCGCTGGCCTCTTGTCTCTAAAGTCCCTTGGAGGACTTACATGCCTGTTTTTATTCGCTGTTTGTGAGTACCATTCCTTTACTAATACATTTTGGTTACTGAGGTAATGCGCAAGGTTGGTGCGCTTCTTGTTTTTTTCACTTTGCAGTATTTTTCGGGCTTCCACAGCCTTGTTTTGGAGCTGCACGACCTTTCATGCTCTGGTGGTCGTTTCGTTTGGGTTTGATTTCACCTACTCGGAATCGTATTTTAAGCACACAGACACACCAGGGGATATGCATGCGTGCATATTACAGCATGTTACCTTCTGCACATAGTTGTGGCTGGGCACACATATGAACGTTGGTGGTCCCTGTTTATCTGTAAGTCCATTGGCAGGAATAAGTGTACTCCAGCAATAGCTTTGGCATCAAGTACCCTATTTAAAGCACAGCACAACTAAGGGTAATTGTTGAGTGGCTCCTGTAACCCTTGACTTGATATAACTAAAGATTTGTAGGGTAAGGTATGTCGTCTTTTTGCTGATGACACAAAGGTGTGCAATAGGGTTGATATCCCTGGAGGTGTCTGTATGTGAAGGCATTCTAAGAATGGGAAGAAGGAAGGGGCAGGCATAGCTACTCTGTATGCTTCTCTCTCTCTCACAGCCCCGAGTGTCTCGGTGTATGCTCTGGTAGTGCCATAAACCTGTCAGATATAAATAAAAGAGATAAGTCCACAAGGCAGCATGCACCAACTTGGACTTAACGCATAGTGTTGAGTTAAAAAGTGTGTCTTTATTCTTTACAAAGTCGCTGAAATCCTGAAATTAAGCTTTAATTCTCATATACCATGCATACGATGTGCAACCCAGAACTGGACCCCGTATTTAATATGTGTCCTTATAAGTGATCAGTACATTGGGCATTTATACTCACTTTCCAGATGTTACTTCCTGTTAAACACTGTCAGACCCCTTTTCCAGCTCTGTATTATATTTAGGGGAAACCCATATAAAGGCTGCAGTTGCTGACCTCCTACTGAACATGCTAGATCTTTGTCCATCATGGACCTTTGGCCATCATAATAAGCCAATAGCTTCAGTGCTTTTTGAACCACAAGTATTCAAATGAGAAATTCCCTAACGCTTTCCAGATCTGAGTGCTTACTCCAGGTTAGCGACTCAGAATTATAGCCAGGGGTATATTTACCACAAGGCAAGCAAGGCATTTGCCTAGGGTGGCATTTTTCAGGGGGGCAGCAGCCGCCCCCTGAAAGAAGAGATAGAAGAAGGGACACACACAGCATGGGAACCAGGTGGGATCTAAAAGAGGCTGCGGGCTGCTTGATGGTGTATGCAGAACCCGACTCTTGTTCCCGGGGTTGTCTGGAGCTGTGAAGGTGAGTGTCTTATCTCTTCCTGGGGTGGGGGGGTTGCCAGTGTATGGGGGGCGGTGGTAGTGGAAGGCTCTCTCAGGTGGGGGTGGGGGTGGGGGGCTGGGGCGGGGCGGACTGACAACTCATGGGGCCCCCAGGCAATAGGAAATCATAGAGCCCCTGTGTCCTCGCCCACACTCAAACCACACCCAAAAAAGCCTATGAAAGGTACCAGGGGCATCTCATGGGGACCCCTACTGACCCCGGACCCTCGGGCAGTGCCCGAGTGCCTAAATGGTCAGTCCGCCCCTGGGCTGGGGTGTTGTTGGTCAATGTCAGGCTCTCTTCATGGGGAGAGGGAGGTGTTGGTTGGTGTCAGGGTCTCTCCATGGGGGGAGCCAATTTTTGTGTTGTCTAGGGCAGCACGAAACCTAAATACACCACTGATTATAGCCAAAGGATCAATATGACATCCAGGCAACTAAGATTATCAGAAGGAGATTAGCAATGTAATTTGTATTTGCTTCAGTAGAGGTTTCCTTTCATTCATAGGGGTCAAGATTATTACCGATGCCTAGACACAATGGCTTATATTTATGGACATTAAATGTTAGTATCATTAATACTGTAATTTTGTATGCAGCAATTATAATAACCTGGAAGGAAATCTAACTGCAGGTAAAGCAGTGGAAGAAATGTGATGACTAATACAATAACTAGAAACAATTTTACATCTTGTATTATGTTTCCTAATAAACCAAAGATTTTGCAATTATCTGAAAAGAAATTTAGGCAATCAGCCATAATTTCCTCCAAGTTAAGATCATAAGAAAACAAAACAGATTAAAATAAAACATAAATAAAATGTTCCACCATGTTAAAAGTATTTCACCCAGAACATTATGTGGTAATTATTATAATAGAAACACAGACAATTTTAGAATAGCGGCAATTGAGGAAAACATTGAAAGGCTTGGAAGAACATTGGATTACACATGTTACTGTAAATGATAATATAGCTGAAACTATATTAGCCTAAATGTGACATTAAAAAAATGTTATACAGAGCTTATTAAAGTGGAAGTCAAGGCACCCTACTACATGCATTGAAAGCCTTCAGTTGTAACAATAAATTGTTAGAGTAGTGTACATGGGGGCCATTCAATGCGACATGCCACACATTTCTGATAGTGTGTATGTAGTTGGACACTTTGTGCCAAATTTATGAGAACCCTGTAACATTTTCATTGTTAGTATGATCGTGTGTCACAAAATTGAAGTAGTTCTTGTAATGCATGGAGTTATTGTTGCAACAAGATCAGAAAGAAATGCCAACATATCAACAATAAGGAAAGTAGAGGTAAATAAAATGTCTTCCATACCGGAGCAAAGTGTTGAATGTGTCTCATGTATAATTATTGTGTCGGAACATTCAGACAAATCTGTGACAAATTAGTCTTTAACAGGGGCGGACTGACAACTCATGGGGCCCCCGGGCAATAGGGGATCATGGGGCCCCTGTGTCCTTGCCAAAACTCAAAAACGCCTATGAAAAAGGTACCAGGGGCATCTCATGGAGCCCCCTACTGACCCCGGGCCCTCGGGCAGTGCCCGAGTTACCAAATGGTCAGTCCGCCCCTGGTCTTTAACCTCCCTAGCGGTCTGATTATGTCCATATTTCTGTCCTCAAAGCGGTACATTTTTTTGCATGGAAACATGTTGTTTTTTTATTGTAGGCCTGTAATTCTTAGGAATAACTCACTGAAATCTGTCCGAACAAGAGTCTAGTAAACATCCAGGGTATGATAAAATTTGAAACAAGAAACCATAAATTATAATATAATAAATAATCATAAAAAATAATAATATAATAATACATTTAATTCAATAATATAATCAAACCAAAAACACTGAAATTTGAAATATAGCGCCAAGTTCGCACATCACAAAATCGCAAACTCATTTTCAGTGTCTGATGACGAATTTCCCCCACGAATCATTATCACTCAATTCTGCAAGTGGTTCTGATTTACTATCGCTGTTCTCTAGCCGGTCTAAAACCGATTTTGGCCTAAAGGGACGCTTTTTGGACGCCATGGACGTTTCTCAGTTTCCAGGCAAAAAGAACAGTAAAAATGCAGACAGGGCACAGGACAAAGCACTCGGGACAAAATGTATGTGAAATGGTTTGATATAATAATGTAATACTATTAGGTTTTAGTGTATTTAGTGAATGTCACTTTTTAACATTTTTGAATTTCCTGTCGGTTCCGTCCCCCACACGTCCCGACGCTCGCAGGGAACCTGGAAGATGGATGCCAGCATCGGCAGGAGGAGATGGCGGGGGACGCTGCAGGGGGGACATCGCTGGAGTGCAGGAAAAGGTAAGAGCAAGAGGGATCCCTGAGCAACGCTGCAGGGTAATTCCGAGTGTAGCTCAGGGTTACCGCTTTTGGTACTGGAAGTTAACCCCGAGCTACACTCGGGAATACCGCCAGGGGGGTTAAGGTAATATTAGACCCAATGTGATGCCTCTTTACTGCCTGATTTAACCACATTTTTTGCAGAACAAACACGCCGCAACCACGTGCACTGCATGCAGTGTGGGATGTTTGCAACACTTCCTCAGTCACTTAAAGGAGTCACTTTCGGTGAATTGCCACCTGATGAAGCCATGTGACCCTGTGGCGTAACGCGTAGGGAAGGTGCTTGCTGACGTCATGATGCTAGGAACACGAGATTGTACAGTAGCTACACACCGGTGACAACTATGATCTAGTGCAATAGTTTATTGGAATTGTACTGTACGGAATAGTGTGGTGCACTGAGGCACCTTTGCAATGGGAGTGCTCTACTGAAAGTTGTTGTAAAATAATAAATAGTCTTTTAAAGGATTAAGCACTATATTTGGTGGTTTCTCTTTCCATATCTTTGTGTGAGGGGGATTGCTGAGTGGAGGAAGAGTAACGTAGGGGAACTCTACAGTTTTTTAAAAAGAAGATTAGCATCCATCAGGGGCGGACTGACAACTCATGGGGCCCCCGGGCAATAGGGGATCATGGGGCCCCTGTGTCCTTGCCCAAACTCAAAAAAGCCTATGAAAAAGGTACCAGGGGCATCTCATGGGGCCCCCTACTGACCCGGGCCCTCGGGCAGTGCCCGAGTTTCCAAATGATCAGTCTGCCCCTGGCATCCATCCATGTGGGAATACCATCTTGAGCTCTATATGAGGCACACAAGCACTATATGACCTTACTAACCAGTTCGGTCAATATTCCAGGTGAGAGCACATCTGGTGGAGGGCATTTTTAAATACGTGATCGTACATGGCACTATAGAGGAGGTGGCATCCAGAAGTATAATGTGAGTGGGTATGATTTTCTTGCACAAAGAAGATTGAAAGTGGACTTTTTTGTTTATTATTCATAATTTTGGAGTACTGTATTTTTGTAATTGTATATCTTTATGTAATAGTGGATAGAAAAAGTGAAGCGTACCACTGAAGGAAATAATTTCGTGTTTGGTGGATTTGCTGCCTGTCAATCATGATATGATGAATAGTTTTTCTTATGGCTGCAAAGTGAAGCATCATGATCATGGCATGGGAACAACCCATTGCAGCTTAAGGAAGGGGGTGGGGGCATTGAGGGGCACTAAAAACATGGCTCAACCACTTGTTTTTAATGCCCCCCAACCACACCGCCAAATTTAGCCTTCATGAGTATACAGCTTCTTCATCTTTTAATCCTTGTCTATGTTCCAGTTTAAGCTGATACCATGACAATTGCCCCTGATCTCATGTTTCAGGTTGGCTCCTTTCTCTTTTTGAATCCTGTATGCCTCACTACACTGTGGGGGAGATTTACTAAAACTGGTTCACTCGGAATCTGTTGTAACTGTGCATGGTGGCCAATCAGCTTCTAACCTCAGCTTGTTCTATTAAGCTTTGGCAATACAACTTGGAATCTGATTGGTTTCTGTGCAGAAGTGAACCTGATTTTGAACTCCCCAGCTTTAGTAAATAAACCCCTTTGTGATTCAATAGACACACACAGCCTGTAGCCCAAAATGGAAAAATTAAAAAGAAAATATTCTGTCTTGACAAACAATCACTCTCAGTATTATGGAGCGGCATTGTCATCCAAGGATAGGACTACAGTGTGTGTGTGTGTGTGGGGGGGGGGGGAGGTTGTATTCTACAGAGGTGAACTGGGTAGGGTTAAGAACATTGCTTGGAATTTCAACAGAAACAGTGTACAGTTTTTTTTTTTATTTGCAGCTATAACAAGATGCTTTTAGTGGTTCAGGGAGCACATAAGAAATCCTCTAAACTAAACCTCTTAATTAAAGCTGAACTCAACATTTTTTAAAATTTGGATATATTTTGGATATATATTGGTGGATATATTTACAGTAGTTCATTTTTTTTCGTATTTCATTTAGTATTTGGTATTTGTAGTGTTTACTTGTTCTCTATTTGTATTTGGCTTCTTTTTAGTTACTTTTCTGTTATTAAAAAAAAAAGTGACAATTTCATTTGGCTTACAGTTTACAAGCTGAAAAAGTAAAGAGGAAGTGTTGACCATAAATATTTGACTACTGGAAGGACTTTTAGGGTGATGTTACATGAAAATAATCTGCCAGTGTTTTTATTATTTGACAGTCACTTCATAAAAATTCCACACTGAGCTGATAATAACTGTACCATCCCCGTGTAGAAATCACTGTCATACGATCGGATGCCATCACACTGACAGCATATAAACTGTAAAAGCTTGCATGTTCTTTCAGGTTTGTTGGCCAAATCCAGCATGCTTTTAGGTGAATCTTTCCCACATTTGGGATGCTTCCAAGATGCATAGATAATTCCAAGCTGCTTCTGAATTCCTTCTGATATTGCTTCTGATATATATATAACATTGAAGAGCAGGGGAGATCAGGTTACACTATAAGACTGACTATTTCAGTGAAGCAGCTTTGCTAGAAGTCTGCACAGGCCTCTATCTACTGGATTCATAATAATTATTTATAGGCAATGGTGTATACATACACCTAGTAAAAATACATATTTGAAACTATATGTTTGATAGTTAAACAGATATTTGAAACAATTGAGAAAAAAAATAATATATATATATATATATATATATATATATATATATATATATACACAGTTGTGTTTAAAATATTAGCAGTCGGACATCACTAACCTGATCAATCACTGTTTTTGGTAGAAATGATATTTCTACATGGCAAATAATTTACTAGCAGGTGTAGTAGAGTAATAGAAATCCAACAGACCCAACAGTCATGACATGCAT